GCCCCTGGGGGTCCCCCGGCGAAAAGTACCCCGACCAACGCCCGACCGCCGCCCGACCGCCGCCCGACCAAGTCTACTCAGAGATGGTTTTCCTTCTGGGTGCGGCCTCTCAGGCTCCCCAGAGCGCGCTCAGAGTGCCCCAAGAGGCCCCCAAGACTGCCCAAGAGGCCCCCGAGACGCCCAAAGAGCGCTCGAAGACGCCGAAGATGACCCCAAGACGGCCCAAAAGGCCCCCAAGACAGCCCAAGAGGCCTCCAAGACGCCCCAAGAGCCTTCCAAGAGGCCTCCGAAGAGAGCCCCAAGAGGCCAAAATCGTTGATTTTCATTGTTTTTTTCGATGTTTTTTGTGTTTTGGCTTTTTCGGCTTCCGGACGCTCCAAGACGGCCCAAGAGGCCCCCAAGACCGCTCCAAGACGGCCCACGAAGCTCCCAAGACGGCGCCGAAACGACCCAAGAGAGCCCTCAAGACGGCCCAAGTGCCGCCCAAGACGGACCAAGAGGCCCCAAGACGGGCCCAAGAGGGACTCAGGAGGGATACCGAGAACTCAAAAATGGAGCCCTCCGTCCCAGAAGGCGCCCAGGAGGTCCCAAAGAGGCCCCAAGAGGCCTCCAAGAGGCCCCAAGATGTCGCCAAGAGGCCCCAGGAGACTCCCAGGAGGCCCAAAAGAAGCCCCAGAAGGCTTCAAACATGTCTCCCAGGCGCCCCCGAACGGCCTCTCAACAGACCCCAAGAGGCCCCCCAAAGAAGCATCTTGACGACGACTCTATTTCGCCCCATCGAGAGACGACCCCCAGGGAACTGCTTCACCATCAAAACTCCCCACGCAACGCGTCCGAACGACACCCGCCCCCAAGAGCGCAACATGGGCAACGAACACACAGACAAAAACCAGCGATGCCATATCACGGGCCGGCGGAATGAGCGAAGCGATTCAATAAGCACACGTCAGGATGTAAGAATGCATGCAGGCGCGGACTTCCTCATCATCCTCATCAACACACTTGCTGCCATCATCGTCAGCGTCTGCATTGCTGTCATCACCACGATCGTTATCACCATTGCCGTTTTCGTCACCGCCGCCGTCATCCTCGTCATAGTAGAAGTCGTCGCCCTCGTGGGGGGAATTATGCGCGCGGGCAATTCACCACCATCACCATCAGCACCATCATCATCGTCATCGCCAAGATCACCGCTGCCACAATCTGTATCGTCACAATCAGAATCAGCTTCATCACCATGACTACCCTCGTCGTCAACATCGTATCGACGCGATCACCACCGTCATAAAAATCGGTATCAGCGACATCATCACTGCCCTCGCCATCGTCAGTGGCAGAGGGGACGTCACCATCGCCACCACGATTTCGCGACCTGCTGGACGGACATGTCTGCGCGGTTGTGTCCCACGCGCCCGTGTGCTCGTTGAGATCATGGCCAAGTCAGCTTTGCCAAACAGTTGCGGGTGGGAGCGGCGGACTGTTTGCACGGGAACTGACCCTGACGGCCGCAATTTCCACAAGTTCACTCTCCTTTCAAGCCCTGGGATATCAGAAGTTACAAATAACTCTGTCGAATCGTCCATTTTCCATACGGAATCATAACATCCAAGCCAAGCCGGTATCGACACCCCCCAACATGCGCGCGCACATGTCGAAAGCATGCCAAACACATTAGTGATGCAAGAATTTCAACCGGAAAAGCACATATACACAAAACACTGGTTTTGCGGTGGAAGTGTTGCCGGTTCTGTCCGCGCGCACATGCTAAAATCATGGGAGACCATAAAGAGAGTTCAGCAACATCGTTCAGAACCCGCAGTCTCTCACCACGCGGTGCATCCACGTTGATCTACAATGCGCCCAGCGCGCGAATCAATACCATACGAGCCACATTCGCGCGCCGCCACGCGCCCGTGTCGACAGCGTTCTAAACCCATCTGCTGATTAGCTTATTCAACACCAAATCCTTGGTCGAGAAACAATTTGCCTGATGGCTTGGATCCTGCGCGCGCACTTCCTCATCACCTTCACCAGCGCCGTCGCATTACCGCCGTTGTCACCGACAATCACAGCCATCGCCACCACCATCATCACAATAATTTGCATCACCGACGCATGGACATAATCAGCGTTGTCGTCACCAGCATCGGCAACGTCATTGGCCTTGCCTGCATCAGGGTCATCGTCGCGACCACCATCGTTATGAGAATCGTTGCCACCGTTGCCACCGCGCCCGCCCAAATGCCCGCCCCGCACGGAGGCGCCCGCGCGCCAGCGCGGCCGCTGCGACTCGCTGGGAGGTTCCCATCGGTGGGCGCCATCGCGGCCGCATCAGCTGCGCCAAACCAGCTGGTCGCTCAACGCGCGAGCGCGCGCGCGCCAGTGCGGGCGCAGAGACCCGATAGCAGGTTCCAATCGGGATACGCGATCGAAGCCAGATGGGCTTCGCCAAACAAGTTGCGTTGCGCGGATGGGATGCTTGCACGAGCAGTGGTTTTTTGTTTCAAATTACGCGCAACTTCTTGATCATCTCCACAAAGACAAATAAATCCGACCCCCCTCCCCCATCGAGGCCGGGGTTAGCTTGTCACCTGCGCACACTGTGTTTTTCATATCAGAACGCTTGTCATTTCATGTCGGACAACCTGTTGCACATTATTTGGCGGGCCGGCATCGAACGCCCCGCCCCCCCCCATCCTTGTCAAACTATACCACACGCGCACAATCGCGTATCTCGAAACATGTTTTCCCCAACCATCCTGTGGTGTTGGGTCCTCGCTTGGAAGAGACAGCGCCCCGCGTTCCTTCCTCCTTCCTTCCTTCCTCCTCCCCCTCCTCCCTCCTCCCATCCCTACCTCTGCCCTCCGCATGCTTGTGTTTCGGCACACCCAGTGCAACGCTTCGTGGCCCCGCAGGGAGCTCCACCGAAGGCCCTGGCGGCAGGGTCCACATGGCGGCGCTGTCCCATTTTGGCGCACCCCCTCACACGGTTCGCAGTCCCACGGGGAGCTCCACCGAAGGCCCTGGCGGCAGGGTCCACATGGCGGCGCCGCCCAACTTTGGCGTACCCTTCACACGGTTCGTTGTCCCATGGGGAACTCCACTGAAGGCCCCAACGGCAGGGTCCATGTGGCGGCGCCGCCCCATTTTGGCGCACCCCTCACACGGTTCGTTGTCCCATGGGGAGCTCCACAGAAGGCCCCAGTGGGAGGGTCCATGTGGCGGCGGCGCCCCCTCTTGGCACACCCCCCACACGGTTCGTGGTAGGGATGTCAGCCGAAGGCCCCAGTGGCAGGGTCCACATGGCGGTGCCGCCCCGTCTTGGCGCACCCCTCACACGGTTTGTAGCCCTGCTGGGAGCTCCACCGAAGGCCCCGGTGGCAGGGTCCAGATGGCGGCGCCGCCTCTTTTTGGCGCACGCCTGACACGGTTCGCAGCCCCATAGGGAGCTCCACCGAAGACCCCAGTACAGGGTCCACATGGCGGCGCCGCCCCATTTTGGCGCACCCCCTCACACGGCCCGTGGCCCCCTAGGGAGATCAGCCAAAGGCCCTGGTGGCAGGGTCCAGATGGCGGCGCCGCCCCCCTTTGACGCACCCTTCTCACGTTTCGTAGTCCCATGGGGGCCTCCACTGAAGGCCCCAACGGCAGGGTCCACGTGGCGGCGCCGCCCCACTTTGGCGCCAGAGCTCCACCGAAGGCCACAACGGCAGGGTCCACATGGCGGCGAAAGCCCCAGCGGCAGGGTCCACATGGCGGTGTCGCCCCATCTTGGCGCACCTTCCACACGGTTCGTGGCCACATAGTGAGCTCCACTGAAGGCCCCAGTGGATGGGTTCGCCCCACTGAACACGCCAACGACATTACACCCACTGTTTTCGTCATCGTATATTCACGCCACCGCCAGCATCATCATCATCATCATCATCATCATCATCATCATCATCATCATCATCATCATCATCATCATCATCATCATCACCACCACCACCACCACCACCACCATCATCATCATCATCATCATCATCATCAGCAGCATCAGCAGCATCCTCATCATCGTCTCATCATCATCATCACCATCATCATCGTCATCATCATCATCATCATCGTCATCATCATCGTCATCAGCATCATCAGTATCATCATCATCATCATCGTCATCATCATCGTTATCATCGTCATCATCATCATCATCATCATCAGCAGCAGCAGCATCATCATCATAATCATCATCAGCATCGTCATCATACTTATGATGATTATCAGCATCATCTCCACAATCATCAACAGCAGCACCATCACCATCATCACCATCACCATCACCGTCACCGTCATAGCCATGACAATCGCCTCCATCACCGACACGTGAACATCATCATCATCATCATCATCATCATCATCATCATCATCGTCATCATCATCATCATCATCATCATCATCATCATCATCATCATCATCATCATCATCATCATCATCATCATCATCATCGTCATCGTCATCGTCATCACCAGCATCAGCGCCGTCATTGACCTTGCGGTCGTCATCGCCATCATCGCCACCACCATCGCCATTCTCACCATCCTTGAGACCGACGTTCGAGATCATCACGATATCGCGCCCGCCCGAGTCACTGACCCGTGCTGTGCATAGCGAGACCATCGAGAGCCAAGAAACCCAAGACAATCTGGAGGCAATCCGGGTGTTGATTCCTCCATCAGTGCTTGCACTGAAGGGGTCCTAGCGGAAAATGAAAAATTTGGCGAAAATTTCCCGACGATTTTGGTAGTTCCCGGGTTCCCGGTTCCGGGTTCCTGGGTTCCCGGTTAATTATTGGTTCCGGGCCGATTTCGGTGGGTTCTGGGTTCCCGGGCTCCCGGGTTCCCGGTCGATCTCCTCAGCGAAAACCATCCACTGATTGGGGTTTTTCTCTGGTGTAATTGGCATGGGCTTCTGCTGTAGTCGATCCTCCTGCCCCCCCGCCTCCAGGCTGGCCAGCCCTCCTGCGGCTGCGAGAACAGATCCTGCAGGCGCGCGTACGACGGCTGCGGGGGCGGCTTCGGCAGCATCGGGTCGTCGGCCGTCGACCTGCGGAGGAGGAGGAGGAGGAGGAGGACGACGAGGAGGAGGAGAAGGAAGGGGTGGTGGAGGAGGAGGAGGAGGAGGAGGAGGAGGAGGAGGAGAAGGAAGGGGTGGAGAAGGAGGGGGAGGAGGAGGAGGAAGGAGTGGAGGAGGAGGAGGAGGAGGACAAGGGAACTGGGAGCGTCGACCAGGGAGCCCTGGTTACTCATCAGCCGTCGGCGGTCTTCGGCCGTCTTCGGCGGTCTTCGGCAGTCCGCGACAGTCTCTGGTGGTACTCGGCGGTCCGCGGCATTCCTCTTCGGTCCTCTGCGCGAAGCTGCACGGATACGATCTTACCCTAAATCAAGGATCAAACAGACCGAGGCCCACGCCACCCCCCTCTCAGAGGTCCGCTCTTGAGCACTGGGCCGTACTCCTTCCCTTCTTCCTTTACGATTCGGGCCAGCGCGTCAGGCGCACACCCTTGCCCACTGCATCACTGCTACAGCGCTCCACCCACGAATGTCGCCAATCATGCTCACAGCCCACAGCGCCCACTCCAAAGCTAGAGGCCTCCCAGATGGGGTCCGAGTGGGGTCGGAGGATCGCGCCGCACCGCCGATGCATCAGCGATGCGGCACGATCCTCCGACACCATCCAATCCGACCCCACCTGGGAGGCACGAAGAGCAAGCACCTGGGCCGCACTCGTGCCCCACGTGAGGCGGCGATGCCATACTTCATAGGAACCCAGGAGCCCGGGAACCCGGAACCCACCGAAGTCGGCCCGGAACCAATAAGCGGGAACCCAGAACCGGGAACCCGGGAACCCAGCCTGCTACCAACATCGGCGGGAAACTTTCGCCAAATGTCTCCACTTCCGCTAGGACCCCAATCAGTGCAAGCACTGGTTGGGGGAAAACTCAAAAAAAGAGCACGAAAAGTCGTCCCCAGACGATTGTTTGACTATTCTTGGATACTCCTCCCGTAGAGGGACATGCCCGACCTCAAGAGCCGGGCCCTGCGTGCACCCTGTCTGCGCCGCGCCCGCAAGGGGGGCGGCGGGCCTCGGAGCAGAGACCCTCCGGGCGTCTCGAGGAGAGCACGGTGGCCTGCTCCTTGGGATCGATAGCCCTCAGAATGTGTGTGAAAGGAAGGACAAAAACTCCCAAAAAAGGCACGAAAAGTCGCCCCAAGGCTATTGTTTGACTATTCCTGAATACGCCTCCCGAAAGAGGGACATGCCCGACCCTAAGGAGCCGGACCTTGCGTCGTGCACCCGGCCTGCGCCGCGCCCACACAAGGAGGGGCGGGCGGGCCTCGGAGCGGGCCCTCCGGGCGTCTCGAGAAGAGCACGGTGGCCTGCTCCCTGGGATCGATAGTCCTCAGGACGTGTGTTACTTTGACCATCCTTGAATACGCCTCCCGTAGAGGGACGTGCCCGACCTGACGAACCCGGCCCTGCGTCGTGCACCCGGCCTGCGCCGCGCCCGCCAAGGGGGGGGGGGGCCTCGGAGCAGGCCCTCCGGGCGTCTCGAGGAGAGCACGGCGGCCTGCTCCTTGGGTTAGGTCGGGCATGTCCCCCTAGGGGCGGATTTTCGACCAAAATCGAAAAGCAGTCCACAAATAATCAAAACATGATCAAGGATGGTAGGGAGATCGTCCCCAGACTACGCTTTACTGTTTTTGAATAGTCCTCCTGTGGACGGACACGCCCGACCTAATCCTTGGGATCGATAAATCCTCAGAACGCGTGTTTGCGCCAACGTGGGTTTGCCCACTGAGGCCCTTCACTACGACGAAGGCGACATGATGTTCGACTGGTTGGGTTGAACGGGGTAGACACACATTGGGCTAACACGCGAGGCGGGGATTTATCCATATCCACCGCCTGGGAACCGACGTCCTGGTGCCCCAGCGGGCGGTGGATATGGGTATATCTCGGCCCCTGGGGGCCCGAATATGTCCATATCCACCGCCTGCCGAGGCTCCGAAAACTGACCCTCCAGGCGGTGGATATGGATAAATTCCCGCCTCGGATAACACACGTCCTGAGAATCATCGACTGGAGCGTAGGCCTCGGAGGGCCCGCCTCGGATCTCGAGGCCAGCACGACACGATCCGCGACGGAAAGCCCGGCTGACTGCCAACCAGACAACCCCAACCCAACCCGAAGCCGCCGTTGGGATCGCCGATTTCCGGTGGAGGGGAGGAGCACTCCAGCGCACCGGGGAAACACGATGGAAACCGCAACCCCCCAAAATGTGAAATCTGGGAGGCTCTGGGCCGTTCGGGTGCGGCTGGGGTGGTGTGGCAAGCAGTGATGTGCGGGGTCGAGGGCACCTGGGGCCAGCGTCGCGAAAAGACACTTCCCCCGGCCTCGATGTTTCGGAGAAGCGCTTGAACCGTTCCGTTGCGAGGCGGGGATGTATCCACATCCACCGCCTGGGAACCGACGTCCTGGTGCCCCAGCGGGCGGTGGATATGGGTATATTTGGGCCCCGGGGGGCCAGAATATATCCACATCCTCCGCCTGCCGAGGTCTCCAAAAATTGGTCCTCCAGGCGGTGGTCATGTATGAATTCCCGCATCGGTTCAGTGTTGGCAGAGGTTTTCATGTCTTCAGCGGCTTTCGGACGCCAGGGCCCCTTCCAGCAGCCCTGGCCCGACCAGAGCTTCGCGGCGGCGCTGCTGGCGCCCCGCCCAACATTGTGTGGGCCACGTTTGCGCGTGGCCCACGTCATGAACCCGGGCCTCCAGATCACCCTGGCAAGAAGACGGAGGAGAGGGCAGAGGAAGAGGACGAGAAGACAATGACTTGTTGTGGGCTATTGAAGGAAGGCGGGCCAGTGGGGCACGGCTGGATCCGCCTCGCGATCCCAATCGGAGCGCGCACGCCTCAGGAAAAGCGACAGCCGTTCCGTTGGCGGTTTCGGAGCCCCAGGGTTGCACTCGGGCCCCTGGGGCCGTCAAAAAAAAGGTCCCTGGCAAGAAGCCCGCCCTGAGTTGGGCTCGAGAGCTGGGAGCGCACGTCGTGCGAAGGTCACGACGTCGGAGATCTGCAAACGACGACGACGATGATGACGATGCGGGCTGCGACAAGGATGACGACGTTACCTCGACTACGGCGACGACAACGGCTGCGGCGGAGGGCGGAGGTGTAGGTCCCTCTCCCGGGCCAGGTGGGCGCGCATAGACTCCGAGGTGCTGGGACCCCAGGGATCTGTAAATCTCCCGCCCCTCCAGGGAACCAGCCAGGATCACGTGGAGGTGAGGTGTACATTTAGATTCGTCGCGACGACCTCTGCAATAACCTCTCGAGCACGGACTCCGGAGACGCGGCCGACAGATGATTCGACTGCGCCAGAGCGGAACCGCCTGCCACCGTGGCCGCTTAGACGCCCGAAGGTCCAGAGGGGCCAAGCGACAACGAAGCAGGCCCTCCCCAGGACAGAACACGGCAGAGCCGCTCGGTGCCTGAAAATGACGGACACGCTCTGCCCGGTCGGGGTCTGTCCTGTTGCCCCGGTGCGAGGCGGGGACGCATCCATGTCCTACGCCTGTGGAACTGACGTCGTGGGAGCCCAGCGGGCTGTGGAGTTTGGGCCCCTGGGGTCGAGTAGGAGATCGACTACAGAATTGACCTACCGCGAAACTGATCCCTGCGTCGAATCTACGAGCTGAGCACGCAGACCGCTTCTAGATCTACGACCACGATGCGTAAGCTTCGTCGACTCGGCGAGGACCTCCCCTTCTGGGGCGAGTCCACTCTGCAGCCGCTCTCCTGCTCGAAGGGGGCCCGCACAGTCCCCGCAGCCGCCCCAGGGTCCCGAGGCCTCCGAGGGTCGGTCCTCCAGGCGGTGGCCACGTCCCCGCCTCGGACCCCTGGGTCCTTCGGGCCCCCCCGGGGGGGGAAGAGGGGCTCGGCGGCGCGCTCCCGGGGGGCGGGGCGAGCGGGGCGGCCCCCCGGAGCAGCCGCTCCCCCCGCCCCTCTGGGCGCACAGGGGGCGCAGCGGGCTCGAGGAGCCGACCCCCTCCAGAGGCGCCCTCCCCCCTCGCCCTCGAGGAGCAGCAGGAGCGAACAACAACAACAACAACAACAACAACAACAACAACAACAACAGCAACAACAACAACAACAACAACAACAACAACAACAACAACAACAACCACGACGACGACGACAACAACAACAATAACAACAACAGTCATGATAACAACAACAACAACAACAACAACAACAACAACAACAACAACAACAACAACAACAACAACAATCACTTTACCCGAACGCTCAGTGTTCTCACCAGTGCCAAGGTTTTCATGCGACGCCAGCCAATACCCCCACTTTGTGGGGGGGCAGTGCAAGCTCTACCAAATATCCACACGACTCTTCGCCACCACCCACACCCAGCTTCCCGCCCTATGACGTTCGGACACTTCACTTCGTGGCCTGCGGACGACCGTGGCTACTACACTGGCGTGGAGTACACACCCACAGAAGTTGTTAAGCCTACGTTCGTACACCCACAGAAGTTGTTAAGCCTTGTTAACCCACAGAAGTTGTTAAGTGCAGGTGTTTTTCGAGGACCTACGGTGCGATTCGTGTGATTTTATGATGCGCGGTGCTAAAATTCTTAAGAAGCCCAATGGTTTTTGGAGATTTCGGCGTGCGCGCGCGAAGAAAAAACGAATGTGTCCCGCATGGTATTATTTGACAGGGATGATGGCCCTGGCAGGTGCGCAACCGTTGTCGCAGAAGTTCGAAAAAGTTGCTCGCAAAAGCCCGTTTGACAGAAATGTTTAAAAAGTGTTGGGTTTCCTACGAATCCGCAAGAGCGCGCGGGATGAGATTTTGACATTTTTTTGTTGAAAAACCATTGGTTTTTTGATGTTTTTATGTTAAAATCGCTGCGAACACTAAGTTTTGGAAGGATTTCGTCTTGCGCGCGCGAATGTCCACTTTACCTTATTTTTTGCAAGGGATTCTTGAAATTTGATTATATTAGAACAAGAAATGTCATTTTATAGTGTTTTTTGCAAGGGAAAGCGGATTACAACAAAACAACCGGATCTGGATCACATCGTTTTACCTGAGGCTTCCTCACGAAAATGATGAAAATGTAGCTGCGGCCTAGGCGGCGCAGGGGGGGCGTGCACCAGGGGGCCCAACAATAATTATTCTTTAGAAGTAATAATATTCAACAATAATTCTAAGACGGTTCGCCCTTATCTGCTCGAGTGTCGACTAACGCGAATTTCCCAAACCCTCGATACCCGCCCTTTTCGTTTTCGATCGAACCCCTTTTGGGGGGTATACGTTTCTTCCCTGCAGGCCGGGCCCCGGCAAGCGGCGGGGCGGCCGCGGACCGTCGGCCTGGCCAGCGGCAGCACTGATCGGCGGGGCGGCCGCGGACCGTCGACCCGACCCCAAGAGGGACGGACAGGGGACCGACCACGACGACGACGACGACGACGTCGACGACGACGGCAACGACGGCGACGGCGACGGCGACGACGAGCGAAAGCGAGAGCGAGAGAGAACGACAGCAGAGACACGAAGGACACGAAGTAGGCCACGAAGGGCGACAGCGGGGACACGAAGGGAATGCGTATGGGGCCACGAAGAGCGCGAACGAGCGTAGGCCACGAAGGGCAGATAATGCGGGCCACAGAAGGCAACGATGGGGCCACTGAGGGTAGCACCTGGGCCACGTCGGACAATGAGGAGGCCACAAACTGCAACAGCGGGGCCACGAAGGGCATGCACATGGGGCCACAACGGACGCGAACGAGCGGGGGCCACAAAGGGCATACGTATGTTGGGCCGCGGAGGGTACGGACGGGGCCACTGAGGGCAGCAACGGGGACACGAAGGGCAGCGAGGGGGCCACGAAGGGCGACAGCGGGGCCACCACGGGCGCGAACGAGCGGGGACCACGAAGGGAATACATATACGAGGCCACGAAACAAAGCGAGGGGGCCACGAAGGGCTGCAACGGGGCCACGAAGGGCAGCGAGGGGGCCACGAAGGGCTGCAACGGGGCCACGAAGGGCTGCAACGGGGCCACGAAGAGCAGCGAGGGGGCCACGAAGGGCTGCAACGGGGCCACGAAACAAAGAAAGGGGGCCACGAAGGGCTGCAACGGGGCCACGAAGGGCAACGAGGAGGCCACGAGGGGCTGCAACGGGGCCACGAAACAAAGCGAGGGGGCCACGAAGGGCTGCAACGGGGCCACGAAGGGCAGCGAGATCCCGATTCCTAGGTAGTCTGTGAAGGAGTCCTAAGCGTGAGCGCGACTCCTGGGCGCCTGGGTGTCGGGAGCGCGGCGCTGGAGTAAATTGCAAGAAATTCCAACGCAAGGGCGCTATTCTTCAGTAAATTGCAAACAAGTCTCCAGCGAGAGCGCGACTCCAGAGCGCAGGAGGCGCGATTCCTGAATAAATCGTAAGGAAATCCTAATCGAAAAAGTCTCGGGCGGGAGCGGGGGTCCTGGCTAAATTGCAAGGAAGTGTCAGGCGGGAGCCGTTGTTGTTGTAACCCGGGGGCCAGGGGGCCAGTTTGAGCAGGAAGATTTCTTGACAAAAAACAAGGTGCGAGCCCCGGGGGGGGCACTTCAATTGAAAAAAACAATGTGCACCGGTGGGGGGGGATCAACAATAATTTTTCTTCAAGAATGAGACTTCAACAACAACAACAACAACAACAACAACAACCACAACAACAACAACAACAACAACAACAACAACAACAACAATTACTAGCACGTGGGGACACACCGTTCTCACCAGTGCCAGGGTTTTCATGGGACGCCGGCCAATACCCCCACTTTGTGGGGGGGCAGTTCAAGCTCTCCCAAATTTCCAAACGACTCTTCGCGACCACCCACACCCAGCTTCCCGCCCTATGACGTTCGGACACTTCACTTCGTGGCATGCGGACGACCTTGGCTACTACACTGGCGCATGGGTACAGTGACTTGTTGTGGTAACATTTTCTGGACGCTAGCTTAGTATACGACTTTTCCCACTTTTCAAACACTCGACACCTGTACTGGTTTTTGGTGGTAACATGTTTCTGACGCTAGAATAAGAAATCACGGTATACCAGTACGACGCCGGTACTGTCTGTCGGGCCTACAATGATATTGACTGCTATGGTTGGTGAGGCGCTAGCGTCTGATACGACGTTTTTCCGTTTCTGTACCCCACTAGCGAATACACTTATTTTGAGTGGTACCACGTGGGTGGCGCCAGCATACCACAGGACTTGTTTCCGTTGTTGTGAGACGATACAGACTCATTCTTGTTCTGTTTTTGTGGTTCCGGCCTCAATGTGCAATACTGGCTCATTCTTCTACGAAATACACGTGAGTAGCTCTCTCTCTCTCTCTCTCTCTCTCTGCCCACTGCGCAAGGGATCCACACCTAAAGAGGAACACGAAAGAATACGAAGCGATGCCGGATCCTGGCAGAAAGATCGGGTCTCTTTTCCGAACATCTGACGGCCCCTAGAGCCGGGTCAATGGCACGGGGGCCGGAAGTGCGCGCGCGGCGGCCGCGCGCATGTGCCCCGCGTGTCATTTTTTGCAAGGGATGGTGGCCCTCGCAGGCGCGCAGACGTTGTTGAAGCAGTTCGAGGTGAGCGCAAAAGTTGCCCTCGAAGCCCCGTTTGATAGGAATGTTGAAAAACCATTGGTTTTGGAAGGATTCAGCATGCGCGCGGGGGCAGATTTTCTGATTTTTTGGATGAGAAAGTGGAGTGTTTTCATATGTTTCCTTGACATCGCATCTTGAAATTGTTGAAATCACAGTGTGTTTGGCAGGATTTCGAGGTGCGCGCGCGGCGGCCGCGCGCATGTGCCCCGCGTGTCATTTTTTGCAAGGGATGGTGGCCCTCGCAGGCGCGCAGACGTTGTTGAAGCAGTTCGAGGTGAGCGCAAAAGTTGCCCTCGAAGCCCCGTTTGATAGGAATGTTGAAAAACCATTGGTTTTGGAAGGATTCAGCATGCGCGCGGGGGCAGATTTTCAGAATTTTGTGATGAGAAAGTGGTGTGTTTTCATATGTTTCCTTGACATCGCATCTTGAAATTGTTGAAATCACAGTGTGTTTGGAAGGATTTTCACATGCGCGCGCGGCGGCCGCGGCGATGTGCACTTCGTGTCATTTTTTGCAATGGATTCTTGAAATGTGGTTATGTTAGAACAAGAAATGTCATTTTATATTGTTTTTTGCAAGGGAAAGCGGGGGGGAACAAAACAACCGGATCTGGATCACATCGTTTTGTCAAGGGCTTTCGCTCGAAAATGATGAAAACAAGGCTGCGGCCTAGATAAAACGGGGGGGTCGCGCACCAGGGGTCCCAACAATAATATTTCTTTAGAAGCAATAACATTCAACAACAACAACAACAACAACAACAACAACAACAACAACAACAACAATTACTAGCACGTGGGGACACTCCGTTCTCACCAGTGCCAGGGTTTTCATAGGAGGCGGGCAATACCCCCACTTTGTGGGGGGGCCGGTTCAAGCTCTACCAAATTTCCAAACGACTCTTCGCCACCACCCACACCCAGCTTCCCGCCCTATGACGTTCGGACACTTCACTTCGTGGCATGCGGACGACCGTGGCTACTATTCAGGGCCCCGCGGCCGACGACGACGGCGTGCGCGCGCGAAGAAAAAACGAATGTGTCCAATATGGTATTATTTGACAGGGATGATGGCCCTGGCATGTGCGCAACCGTTGTTGCAGAAGTTCGAAAAAGTTGCTCGCAAAAGCCCGTTTGACAGAAATGTTTAAAAAGTGTTGGGTTTCCTACGAATCCGCAAGAGCGCGCGGGATGAGATTTTGACAATTTTTTGTTGAAAAACCATTGGTTTTTTGATGTTTTTATGTTAAAATCGCTGCGAACACTAAGGTTTTGGAAGGATTTCGTCTTGCGCGCGCGAATGTCCACTTTACCTTATTTTTTGCAAGGGATTCTTGAAATTTGATTATATTAGAACAAGAAATGTCATTTTCTATTGTTTTTTGCAAGGGAAAGCGGATTACAACAAAACAACCGGATCCTGTACACACCCTCTTTTCTGAGGCTTCCTCACGAAAATGATGAAAATGTAGCTGCGGCCTAGGCGGCGCAGGGGGGGCGCGCACCAGGGGGCCCAACAATAATTATTCTTTAGAATAAATAATGTTCAACAACAACAACAACAGCAGCAGCAGCAGCAACAACAACAACAACAACCACAACAACAACAACAACGGCAACGGCAACGACAACCACAACCACAACCACAACAACAACAACAACAACAACAACAACAACAACAACAACAACAACAACAACAACAACAACAACAACATTAACAACATCAATCACAACCACAACCACAACCACAACCACAACCACAACAACAACAACAACAACAACAACAACAACAACAACGGAAAGGCGTACACTCCAGCCCCGAGCAGGGCCGGAGCTTCCAGTGTCACTCCCCCGGCGGACGGGCGCTCACTCCAGCCCCGTCCTTAGACTCTGTGTGACGACAACTCCTCCGGCTCTGCTAGAGGCCATCAGCGGCGGTGTCGCGCCGCGGTGGGCAAACGTACTGCACCGTCATCTGTGCTGTTTCCTTCCACAGAAAACGCTCCCCGTGCGCTACCCCCTTCTTCGGCCCCGTGTTCAGCCAAGACACCCTCAGGGACCCTCACAATTCCTGACGAAAGCTAAAGACTCAGACGGCAAAGACGGCGGCAGCAGACCCGACAGGAGCAAGGGGAGAGGGAGCTTCATAAAGGGCGGAAGGGAGGGAGGGGGAGGGGCAGCAGCACCACCACCACCATCGAGGCAGAATCCCGATCAAACCATACCATGCAGACCACATGCGCGCGTCCACCGCGCTCGCATGTCGAAGTATGTCCAAAATCTTTGGTTTCGTAGGAAATTCGAAAGCGATCTTCACGAGCACTGGTATTTTGGTTCTGAAAATGAATGGATGTCGCAACCGCATTTTCTATGAAAAAACATGTGCGCGCACTTCCTCGTCAACCCCTAGGGAATCCCTTACGGAATCCTCAGGGAACTCTCAGGAGCCCCTAAGGAGTACCCAGGAACCCCTAGGGGATCCCCACGACATCCTAGTGAATCCTCGAAAGCTCCTGACCCTCGGGAGCCCCTTCGGGAAAGCTCGAAGGAACCCCTCTTCGGGAATCCTCCAGAAACCCGAAGGGCCCCTCAGAAATTCCAAAAGAATCCTCAGGAGACCCGCAAGGAGCCTTCCGGAACCCCAAAAGGAACCCCCAAGAATCCCGAGGATGTCGTCAGGAGCCCCTTATGGAATCCCCAGGACCCCCTCGGGAATCTTCAAGAATCCGTAGGGAATCCTCAGGAACCCAAAAGGAATCCTCAGGAACCCAAAAGGAATCCTCAGGACCCCCTAAGGAATCCCCAGGACCCCCATCGGGGATCCGCAGGAATCCCTAGGGAACCCTCAGGGATGCCTAGGGAATCTTCAAAGGAACCCCATCGGGAATCCTCCTGGACCCCTTTAGAGGTTCCGTAGGACCCCCCAGGGCATCCTCAAGAATCCCGAGGGAATCCTCAAGAATCCTTAAGAAATCCTCAGGAACCCTTGAAGGGAATCCCCCGGAATCTTTAGAGAATCCCCGGAAACCCCTAGGCAATCCTCAGGAATCCTTAGAGCATTCCCAGGAGCCCCGAGGGCATCCTCAGGACCCTCTGGGGGGAGGAGGGGGGAGGTCCTCAGGACCCCCTAGGGGATCCTCAACAAACCCTGGGGAGCTTTCGGGAGCCCCTAAGGATTCCGCAAGGGAAAAGCTCGGGAATTCTCAAGGACCCCCCCCCCAGGAGTCCTTAGGAGACCCTTAGGGGATCACTTGGAGCCCCAAATGGATCCTCAGGAATCCTGAGGATTCATACGGAATCTCGGGAATCCTGAAGAATGCTAAAGAATCCTGAGGGATCCTGAGGGGCACCCTGAAGGGATCCTGAAGAATCATGAGGGATCCTCAAGAGCCCATAGGCGTCCTGAGGAGACATGGTGGATCCTGGGGAATCCTGAAGTGTCCTGAGGAAGCCTTGAAGATCCTGACGAATTCGAAGATATCCTGAAGAATCCGGAGGAGCCCGACGGAATCCTGAGAACCCCTATGGAGAGATCCTGAAGAATCATTTGTGATCCCAAGGATTCCTAGGGGATCCTGAGGAATCCTGGAGACTCCGAAAGGAGCCTGAGGAATCCTGGGCGATCCTGAGGAATCCTCGGGGGTCCCGCGGAATGGTTCCTGAGGAATCCCGAGGAATCCTGGGGGGTCCTGAGGAATCCTGGGGGGTCCTAGCGAGTCCGGAGGGATCCACAGAAATCCAAAGGAATCCTGAGGGATACGCGGAAATCCTTGGGAAACCTTTGGAAACGCGCCAGGAATGCCGACCCCTCCTCCGGCCCCGTGGGGCACCTTGCGCTGCCGCCCCAGTGCCAGCCCCTTCTCTGGCCCCGTGAGGCAAGCCCTCGGTTGGTGGAGCTTTGTTTACCCTTAAGAATAAACACTTAAGTGTTGAGAGGAGAAGAAGAAGAAGAAGAAGAAGAAGATCTCAACAACGAGCCAGGGCCCGTGTCAACGCCTTACCGAACAACAACAACAACAACAACAACAACAACAACAACAACAACAACAACAACAACAACAAGAACAACCACAACAACAACTACAACAACAACAACAACAAGAACAACAACCAAAACAACAACAAAGACAACAACCACAATAAAAATAACAATAACAACAACAACAACAACAACAACAACAACAACAACAACAACAACAACAACAACCACAACAACAGCAGCAGCAGCAGCAACTACAACAACAGCAACAATAACAACAACAGCAGCAGCAACAACAAAAACGACAACAACAACAACAACTACAACAATCATCACAACAGCCATAACAACAACAACAACTACAACAACAGCAACAGCAGCAGCAACAGCAACAACAACCATAACAACAACAAGCATGTTAAGACTGTTCACTCATATCTGCTCGAGTGTCATGCAGCGTGCATTTCCCGAACCCTCGATACCCGCCTTCTTCATCTTCGATCATACCATTTTGGTGGGTATCTATTTCTTCAATCGATCACTAGAGCATCAGCTGCTTCACCGTCGGGGACGCCCGCCCCAGCGGGCGGCGCGCAGAGGGGGGCAGGGAGAGGTCGGGAATGTCCCCTATAAAGGGTTCTGGGCGAAAAAATATGAACAAAAATCAACACATATCCTCAAAATGCTGAAAAAAAGCTCCAAAAATAGTCCCCCGACTATTTTACTAGTTTTGAATACTCCTCCCGTAGAAGGACAGGCCCGACTCACGGGTAGAGGGAGGAGGGGAGGCTTCTCGGAAGGCGCTGGCGTGACATCTGCAGACTGGGCCCGCGCCTTCTGAGTAGCGGCCTCCTTGCATGAGGCCTTCCCCCCTGCCCCATACCCCAAGGGCGCGTGGCCGACCAAGGGCGGCTGGAGAGGTTGAACCCCGACGAGCCTCGGTGCAGTCAACATGTATAGTAAGGATGCGCGGTAAGGATGCAAGGGCCTTGGAGGGCCATGTTGCTGTTTTTCGAACGAGGTTGGCCAGCAAAGGTATCAATGATGGGCCGAAGGGACAAGGATGCAAGGGTAGCCTTGGAAAGGTGGCCCATCCTTACCACGCGGGCTGACTTTAATTAGGGGTACAGACTGTCCGGCCGCCTTGGGGCAGGCGGCCCCCGACGGCGGAACCGTTAATGACTGCTATACCCGACCAAGGAGAAGCACAGCCCCAATCCCCGAATAATGCGGATTCACCGAGGATTCAGACGTCGGCCACCTAGAGACCTCGGGGCATGCTTTGCTCTCGCCGTTGCCCCCCCTGGGAAAAGAGCCTACCCCGAAAGCTCCCTCCCCGAGGTCTCGCGTTCTCGGGAGGGGGCGTCTCTTCTGGGTCAGCGAATTCTGCCCTTCGTCCCCTGAGTGAGCGCGCCGCCGAACGGCCGCGAAGCGACCACGTTGGGTGACGCCTGGGGCCTGCCGGAGCCCCGGGAGCCGTGGGCACCGCGGGCGGCCACGGGAGCGGCGCGCCCCCGACCGCGTGGGAGGGGGCGGCGCCATCAGAGGGCGGCCCCGCTGCCGGCCGCGGCCCTCCGGGCTCGCCGGCGCCCGTCGGGGTGCCGTCGCCGTGCAGGTCCGGCCACGCCGGCGGCAGCACGAAGGCCACGCTGAGGTCCGGGTAGAGCTGGTGCAGCGGCAGGTGCCGCTCCCACTCCTGGAGGGGCGGAGCTCGCCAGGGAGGAGGGGGCCACATGCCCTTGGCCCGCACCTCGCGCCCGGCCTTGCGGCTCGCCCCGAGGGGACGTACTCTGCAGGTTGGTTCGGGTGCTGGTTGTGACGGCCTGGGAGGGCCAACCCGAGCCTCGAGGTGCATCCGTGCTGCGTGGATGGAGGGCCAGAGGAGGTCGAGGGCCAGCTGTCGGGTCACGAAGGGGCGATGCTTCTCCAGGGGGCCATTCCCAATGGGGAATGGCAGGAGGGCCGTCAAGCCCAACGTTAGAGGCCGGGAAATGGGCACCAACACCAACACAGGGGGTTGCCTCCACAGGGGGAAGATGATCCTAGATTTCGGTGTTAGTGGAAATATTTCGGCCACCTTGGAAGCCAGGATATTACCACCATCACCGAGATCGGGATCTTCCTCCCTCGGTGGAGGCACACGACCGATCTTGGTGTTGGTGTCAACCTCTAGGCCTGCGACAACATCACGCCAGACGGCTCACCCTGGGCAGGGTTTCTCGTGTCCGGGGCCTCCACGGCTGCAGGGGCACCCCCAAATCCCAATGCCACAGCGCCTCGGTGTGCATGCCGCGCCTGGGGCATAGGGAGGAGGAGGAGGAGGAGGAGGCGGAGGAGGAGGAGGAGGAGGCGGAGGAGGAGGAGGAGGAGGCGGAGGAGGAGGTGGAGGAGGAGGAGGGAGGAGGAGGAGGAGGAGAAGGAGGAGGAGGAGGAGGAGGAGGAGGAGGAGGAGGAGGAGGAGGAGGAGGACATCAGAATTTGGACATCAGGAATGTCGTGGGCCAACCAACCCTCGTGGGATGGTTGAGGGGACCGCCCCGCGAAGCTCCTCCGTGCCCGACAGGCCTATGGGGCCGCATCGCTAGGGCGTCGGGCAGCGTTGAAGCGCCCTGCCCGGGCAGGCCGGGGCAGGCGCGACAGCGCCCCCTGAAGAGGGGGGAAAGGAACGGGGGGGGGAGGGTGAGAAGGCGGAGCGGGCAGGGGCAGGGGCGGGAGAGACGGGGGCGCGGTCCAGCAGCGGCCCCGGCTCGGCTGGCGATTCTGGGCCGCCGCGCCGTCGACCCAAAATCCGCCCCCGCGCGCCCCGGCCCCCCGGGGCCGATTCTGGGTCGCGGCGCTGGCGACCCAGAATCACGGGGGGGGCGTTTCTACGCCCGGCGGGGACGGCTCGGCGGGGACGCGCTGCTGACGTTGAAGCGCCCTGCCCGGGCAGGCCGGGGCAGGCGCGACAGCGTTCCCTGAGGAGGCGGGGGGCGCAGAGTGGGGGGGGGAGGGGGCGGAGCAGGCACGGCGGGGGGAGGGAAGGAGGGCGGGGCGGCGCACCGCCCGCGGTCGGGCCTCGTCCAAGCACCCTGGTGCTGATTCTGGGTCGCCGCGCCGTCGACCCAGAATCCGCCCCCGCGCGCCCAGCCGCCCGGTGGCCGATTCTGGGTCGCGGCGCCGCCGGCCCAGAATCCAGCGCCCGCGGGTCTACGCGCCGCGGGCGACGACGGCGGCGACCGCGACTGGGCTGGCGGCGACAAGGGGGGGGCGGCGGCGGCGGGCGGGCTGGCCGGCCGAGCCGAGCGCCGCCCCGCCGGGGCACCGCCGACCCAACGCGCGGCCCCGCAGCTTCCAGGCTCTCTGGGGCTGATTTTGGGCCGCCGCGCCGTCGACCCAGAATTGACCCGCGCGCCCAACCGCCCGGGGGCCGATTCTGGGTCGCGGCGCCGCCGGCCCAGAATCCAGCGCCCGCGGGCCCACGCGCCGCGGGCGACGACGGCGGCGACGGCGACTGGACAAGCGGCGACGCGGGGGGCGGCGGCGGGCGGGGCCGGCCGGCCGGGCCGGGCGCCGCCCCGCCGGCCCACCGCGCAGCCCCCCGGCAGCCAGGCGCCCTGGGGCTGATTCTGGGCCCCCGCGCCGACGACCCAGAATCCGCCCCCGTGCGCCCAGCCGCCCGGGGCCCGATTCTGGGTCGCGGCGCCGCCGGCCCAGAATCCAGCGCCCGCGGGCCCGCGCGCCGCGGGCGACGATGGCGGCGACTGCGATTGGGCTGGCGGCGACAAGGGGGGCGGCGGCGGCGGGCGGGGCCGGCCGGCCTGGCCGGGCGCCGCCCCGCTGACCCAACGCGCGGCCCCACAGCTTCCAGGCTCCCTGGGGCTGATTCTGGGCCGCTGCGCCGTCGGCCCAGAAACGCCCCCGCGCGCCCAACCGCCCGGGGGCCGATTCTGGGTCGCGGCGCCGCCGGCCCAGAATCCAGCGCCCGCGGGACCACGCGCCGCGGGAGACGACGGCGGCGACGGCGACCGAGGGCAGAGGCGATGGCGTAGGGGGGGGCGGCTTTTCTACGCCCTGCGCGCGTGCACGTGGGCGCCCGATACCCTCCCCACGAACTCCACCTTCAGCGCGAGCTCGGCGAGGTGCGCGGTGTCGGAGAGGGCCCACTCGGGGACGCCGCAAGCCAGGGCGGCGTCGCCCACGCGCGCCCGCAGCACGCGTCGGAATGCGTCGACGACCGGGCAATCCGCGAGCAGGTGGTAGAGGCCAGCTGCCTCGCCGCCGCAGAGGGCGCACGCCTCGTCCGGGACAGGCTGGAGTTCCACGCCCCAGACGACCCCCGGGATGGCCCCCGACACGCGCGCCACCATCCACGCCCTGTGGTACTTCCACATGGCCTGGGACCACGGCGCGAAGCGGACCTCCGGAGCCCACGGCTGGTGGACCGGGAGGAGCGCGACCAGCGGCACCAGCCCTGTGTCCGCCAGCCGGCCGACTTGCTCCGCGAACCAGCGCGCCTCCGCCGCCTCCATGGGTCCACCACCCGCGCCGTCCATGAGCGCACCAGCGCCCGCCGTCGCGCAGGGGGGGCCCCCGGCTCCAGGGCCGGCCACTCGGCGATCCCCACGCCCCGCGCTACCTCCTCCGCGTCGCTCAGCCAGGTGCGCACCCCCGGGGACGCCACCGCCGCCTGGAGCACCTCCGAGATGGGCGACGGGTGGGGGAGGAGGAGCATCCGGGCCCTGGCCGTGATGACCCGCTTGGTCAATTTGGTGCCAAGCCGGGCGAGGAGTCTCGCCTCCAGAAAGGCGCGGACGTGCCCGCCCGAGCCCAGCGACCACGGCCGCGTGGCCCCCGCCAGCAACATCTTGGCCACCTCGTAGTAGGCGCGGTTGACCCTGGTGAGGACCGCGGGCCAGCCAACCTCGCAGGATGCGAGGAGCTCGGCCCCGAACAGGGCCGCCGATTCGACCCTGGCCGGGACTTGCGTGAGCTGAAGCGGGACGCCGAATCCGCTGTCCGCCATAGCCGCAATGAACCGGCGGGCACCCGCCAAAAGCTTGGCGCACGTCCGGTCCAAGAGGGGGCGAAGGCTGAGCGCGTTGTCGATGGGCGTGCCGAGAACATCCAGCGAGGCCACGGCCCGGAACGCCTCCCCCGCGATGGCGCCGCACGCGGCGGCGTCGGGGTCAGCCCCGGCCACCGCCACCACCGCGGGCCCCTTGCTCGCCCCGCCCTGGAACCGGTGGCGCCAGCGCGTGCACCAGGCGGAGAGCGCCTCCGCCACCGCCGCCACCTCGGGGTCCGTCTCTCTGGCGATGAAGGAGTCGTCGACGAATTGGAGCATGGAGAAGGACAGCGCGCCGGCCTCGGACGCGGGCGGCCCGAGCGCCACACCGGGGCCAGCCCCCACGCCCGCGTCGATGAGCCCCCGTACCAGGACCCCGAAAAGGTGGACACCAGCCCTGCGCCCCTGGCCGACGCCGAAATCGGCCACCTGGAACGCCGCTGCCGCCAGGGCGCCCAGGCGGACACGCACCTGCTCGGGCCCCAGCGAAGAGTCCGCCGCGACCCACCACCGCCCCCGAACCCCCGCGAGCCAAAGGCCGAGGCGCACGGCGTCCCGCCAGGCGAGGTCGAACCCGTGCAGCAGGTCTGCCTTGGCCAGGACCGTCCTGAGGCCGGCCGCACGCCAGAGCTGCAGCAGCATTAGCAGCCCCCCCGTCATCAGCACGGCGTCGAAACGCCCGCCCGCTTGGGGGGCGCCGGCGAAGGCCTCCAGGTGGCCGCGGGTCACCTCCAGCCACGCAGCGTCGAAGAAGCCCTCGAGGTCATCTACGTAGGAGACGGGTCGGAGATCCCCCAGGGCCCTGACGACCGGGGGGCCGCGCTTGCGGATCGGGGCCACCTCGCGCGCCCACAGCGAGGCGGTGAGGCCCGTGGCCATGGCCAGGTTCAGGATCGCCCACGTGACCAGACCCGCCGGCCCAGTGACTGCTCGGGCCACCCCGCGCGGGAAGCGCATCGAAGCCTTTCGGAGACGCGCGTGCCGCACCACCCTGTGTCCACCAGCGCCGCGCTCGGGAAGGCATCCCCGGGCTCCTGGTCCGCGAGTTCCGCACCTCTCTCACAGCACGGGCCACGTCGTCGTTGAGGGCTGGGACCCCTGGTCCAGCGGCCCGCCCTCGTTCCAGCACGTTGCGCGAGACGGCCGCCAAGGTCTCCGCGGGGCCGAGCCGGGCGCCCGAATCCTCGTCGACTAAGGCGAGGGTCAATGGCGCGCGCGGGCGGAGCAGCGCACTGAGGAAAGCCTCGGCCTCGCCGGGCGCCGCCGCCGCCAGACGCAAATATCGGCGCATCTGCCTGGCCCGCGCGTCCGCGAGCGCTCCGAGGGTCGCGGCAGCGGCGCCGCCCGGACCTTCCTCCGCCGGGGCGGGGGGGGCCGGCCCGCGGGGGCCTGGCGAGGCCTGCCCTGGTCGGGCGCCTCGGCCATCGGACCGCCACGAGCCCGCTCAAATGCCCCCGGATGGCGACAACCACGGCCCGCCACCACACTGCATGGTCCAGCACTGCCTGCCGCGCGCCGCGCCACTGCCCCGCCGCGAGCCAGGCGCGGATGGTCGGGCCCCGGGAAGCGACCGCAGCCCAGCCGGCCGGCGATGAAGGCCAGCGACGCCGCGGCGCCGGCCAACGCGCCCGCCCAGTCCGCGTCCCCGCGCCACCGCGCCCAGCCAATGTTCGGCGCCTCGCCCACCCGCATCTGCCCGGGCAAGCGGGCGAGCAGGAGGGCGTGGTCCGCGGGGACACCAGGCGCGCCCGGCGGGATGACCTCCACCGCCGCTTGCAAGTCCTGCGACGTTGCGACCCAGTCGATGGCCGTGCCCGATGCGTGCGTGGGCGTGGCCCGCGGGTTGCGGACCACGGCGTCGAACCCTTCCGTGGCCCGCAAGAGCTCCCGGACGTGTCGCTCCAAGGGCCCCTCGTAGCGCTCGTTCGCTGGGGCCAAGTCTGCGAAGTGCAGGTTGGCGTCACCCAGGATCGCCAGGGACCACCCTCGGAATTGGGGCTGGAGGGCCAGCCTCCGCCACTCCATCAACCGCGCGTCCCAGAATTGTCGTCGGGCCAGGGCTCCGTGCGCAGGCGGCGGCCCATAGGCCGCGAAGACGAGGACGCCGCCGCCCTTAGCCCCCGGGAGCGGCAGCCAGAGCGCCCGCTCGTCGCCCACATCGGCCACGGGGGCGGTCGTTTCGCCGAGCGACTCGTGGACCAGCACGGCAACTGTGCCCGGGGACGAGGACCGCTCGCCATAGAAGGCGTAACCCGCGTCTGGCCAACGCGCGCCAGGCCCGAGTCGATGGCCGCCGCCGCTACCTGCGCTGCTCGAAGCCGCTCGAGCACCGAAACGATCCGGGCCTCCTGGGTGCCCACGCCCCCGCGCGCGCCAAAGCCCCCCTGCACGTTGAGCGCCGCCAGGACTCTCGGCGCGGCGCGCGCCGCCCGGGGCGCGGCCACGCACTCCTGCACCGGTAGAGCGCCCTCCCAAGCTCCATGAACGCGCCCCGAGAGTGCCCCATGCCCGCCCAGCTCCAGCCGCGCGCGCCAGTTCTGAAGGGTCGTCGCCAGCGCCGTGTCGGACGTTCGCCACGTCCCCAAGCCGCCCTGCACCAACGCGCGAGCAACCGGGCCTCCTGGCGGGCCTGCGGGGAAAATTGGCCGGGCCGCCTGGAGCGCCCGGACGTCCCGCAAGAACGACGCTGCTGCCTCGCGGCGTCGCCCACCCTCTCCGGGGACGTCGGCCGCCTCCCAGCCACGCGCCTCAGCGGCCGTCGCCGCGGCCGCCTCGCCCGTCGCCCAGGCCGCGAGCGCCGGGGTGCCGGGCTGCGCCATGCCGGGCGGTCGCGGCCGGCCAGCCGCCGCGGCCGCGGCGCACGAGAGCCAAAATTGCCACGGCAGGGGCGGCAGGGGCACCCCCAAATCCCAATGCCACAGCGCCTCGGTGTGCATGCCGCGCCTGGGGCATAGGGAGGAGGAGGAGGAGGAGGAGGAGGAGGAGGAGGAGGTGGAGCGGAGGAGGAGGAGGAGGAGGCGGAGGAGGAGGTGGAAGAGGAGGAGGAGGAGGAGGAGGAGGAGAAGGAGTAGGAGGAGGAGAGCGAGGAGGGGAGGAGGAGGAGGAGGAGAAGAAGGAGGAGAAGGAGGAGGAGTGGGAGTGTAGGAGAGGGAGGAGGTAGGGGGAGGAGGCGGTAGATGGTGAGGAGGGAGGAGGAGGAGAGGCGGGGGAGGAGAGATGGAGGAGGAGGTGGTGGAGGAGGAGGAGGAGGAGGGAGGAGGAGGAGAGGAGAAGGAGGAGGAGGAGGAGGAGGGAGGAGGAGAAGGAGGGGAGGTGAGCGAGGGAAGGAGGAGGAGGAGGAGGAGGAGAAGGCGGAGCAAGGAGGTGGGAGAGGGAGGAGGAGGAGTGGGAGGAGGAGGAGGAGCGGAGAAGGAGGTAGGACGAGGGAGGAGGAGGTTGGGAGGAGGAGGAGGAGGAGGAGGAGGAGGAGAAGGAGGAGGAGGGGGAGGAGGAGGAGGAGGAGGAGAAGGAGGAGGAGGAGGAGGAGGAGGGGGAGGAGGAGAAAGAGGAGGAGGAGGAGGGAGGAGGAGGCGGAGGAAGAGCAGGAGGAGGAGGCGGAGGAGGAGGCGGAGGCGGAGGAGGCGGAGGCGGAGGAGGATTTCGAGCAGAACCATCGCTCGAACAGATCCCTGCCCTGGGCGCTCCGGAAGCCGCACGCGCAGGTCGCTCCCCACAGGAAACCGGCCCTGCGCGAGCCACTCGTGCATGGTGCACCCGGGGACGGGCCCGAACTCCTGCCCGATGCGGTCCAGGTACAGCCACGGAAGCTCCTGCTGGGCGACGAGATCTAAACATATCCACTGCTCCTGGCCAGGCCCATCCTGGGCCCAGGAGCTGTGTATACGCCCTCCTGGCTTAGCCAGGGAGACATATACACCGCTCCAGGACCCAGGATGGGCCTGGCCAGGAGCAGTGGATATGTATAGATTTCGTCGCCCTATCCTGCACCCTCCGCCCCTCGTCCCCCGCCATAGCGGCCGCCGCCGCCGCCGTGATGCGCGGGTAGCTCTGCGGCTGCCTTCGGGGATCGCAATCCACTGGCACAGAGCACCTGAACAGCTCCACACACGGAGTACGCACTCCAGGCAGGATGATGATACATGCGCGTGCGCACTTCCTGTCTTCATGTATCGACTGCGTGATGCGCATGTCTGCTTGACATTTGAATACGGGCACGCGCACAGAACAAATTAGCCAGGTCGAAAAGGTCAGGGGGCCCCGCCCATCCCCGCCCTCCACGCCATGGCATTAGAATTAATGGTGGCACAATTCGATATTGGGGCTGGAACTGAAACGCGTTCCCACCTCGCGAATTGAAGACGCTGGTGGGCGGCCCCGGCTCCGACGAATCGGAGAACGTGAAAAAACAGGCGGGACGCGCACGGGCGGGAGCGCAGCCCCCGAAGATCCCTGCGCAGCGCTGCGGCGAGAGCACGACTGACCCACCTCTCGGGCGGGAGCCATTCCGATGAGAGGAGCAAGAGGAGGAGGAGGAGGAGGAGGAGGAGGAGGACGAGGAGGAGGAGGAGGCGGAGGCGGAGGAGGAGGCGGAGGAGGAGGCGGAGGAGGAGGAGGAGGAGGAGGAGGAGGCGGGAGCACCACTTCTTCCGCTCTCGCGCGGCCCCGCTGTCGCAGCCGCTTTCCTTCGGCTCGGCGCGCGAATCCTTCGCCGCGCCGCCACTTCCAGGCGCGAAGGGCGCACAGAAAGCGCAGGCGAGGGCGACGGGTCGCCCGCTCGCAAGGCGGGGCCCGCTCCCGACGACCTGGCGGGGGAGCCTCCGAGGCGGCTTCGAGAGCATCCTGCGCGGCGCCGAGACGAGAGCGACGTTTTCGCCCGCTCGCGCGTCGACGAACTGGCGAGCGAAGCGATGGCGCCACGCCCGAACGGGGGCCCGATCGACTCCCGGGAAGGAGAAGCGCGCCGCCGGGGCGGGAGCGGCATTTCGCCCCGTCGCGCGGGGCGTGCGCCGTGTCCAGCTCCAGCCGCGCAGTTTGCAACGTCCAAGACAAAATGCCCCCGTCAAAATGAAAAACTTCGAGGTCGTACTGCTCTCGAGGGGCGGGGGAGTAGCCCCGGAGGGGGCGGCGACCGGCCGACGGGGTGGCAGAGCCGGAGCACAGAACAAGAGGAATACTGGCATGCCCACGTGCATGTGTATCTGCAATGTTTTTGCGCATGTGTGGCTGAGTATGTGCAAGCGTATGGAAGTACACTCAATAATATGATTAAGAAAAATACAAATTAAGAAAGCTGGGTCAGCTTTTCATAAGTTTCTTAAGGAAACGTTGAGCCAGCTTTTGGAGCCAGAAACGTACACGGTTCACTTCTAGGATCCAGGGCTACCAATCCCCTTAAGAAACTGGGCAGACTTTCCGGCAAATTGGTTAAGAAACGCTGGGCCAGTTTTTCGGGGGGAGGTTTTTTTAATCATAAGCGAAGCGGTACACGCCCACACGCTGTATGCGAACGCACGTCGGATACACCCCCGAACATGCGCATATGGAATACAGAAACGGAATCAGTGCGCGAGCGGAAGAGACCGTAATTAGACCTTGTGCGTTGGGCATGCGTATATGCACGGGTATGTGGTAACGTCGTTGCGTGTGTGTGTGCGTATGTGTCACGGACTGCGGCGACATTCCGTGACAAAAATCCGTACTCGAGAAAGGTCCGACAGCGTTCAGTAAGACCCAGAGAGCCCCAACACGTTGCTAAGGC